GAAGAAGGTGGTCACTGGAAATGGATACACCATCTTCAACAGCTGCTGTCTTACCTTCAAAACTGCTCGTTGCTAATTCCTCATTGACTATTGCCTTTAATTGGTTTGGCCGGTTCTGATTCTTAGTGAGTATCTTGAAGTAAGAATTCTTCCCACTGCCACCCTTTTTTGCCCCACCATTGCTATTCTGGTTCAATACCGTCCTTGTAACCTGGGAAAAGGATCTTCTACCACTAAGAAAATAAGTGGAACTCGGACCACTTTTTAACCCAAAGGTTGAAACGTTTAAGGGCATTGCAATATTGGATGACACATATCCAAATTGGGGCTTGATTCTGAAGGCAGAAAAAGGACAAGGCACACTGGCAACACTTCCCAAGAGTTGAAATTTCTTTTCTGACTTGACTCTAAGAACTTTCGGTTGGATATGTGGGGGTATGAGACATATCCTAGCTTTTTGAGGAAAATATTTAAATTTTTCAGCACTTGCAAATGGTGAAAACGGTAAACACGTAGCTGGGTGATTCTTAACTGTCCCGTTCTGCAACTTAAATAGACATTAGAATAATTATTACAGTGCAAAAAATTATAGCAGAATAAAAAAAGCACGTAATATACCTGATCTAGATAAGTAGAACTCTAACAAGTTTATCATGAATAGTTATATATAGTACAGACGAGGTGTAAATTCAGTAATTAAAAATGGCCATCCATAACATGGAAATCTCATTTGTAAACGAAAAATTTCTTATCGCCATATCAAGTGAAGCAGATATTCAAAGTTTGAAGCTTTTTTTCTCAATGTACAATTGATGTTGGTAACTGGACCTCAGTTGAGCACCCATAATTGGCCTACCTCACTCAGTCCATGAAATAAAAATGGAAAAGTCGTCTAAGATTGGGATGATAACAGTCGAAATCTGTCTGACTTCAACTCCCTCTTATTTTGAAATAGAGGAATAGATAACCTTGGGGGGTTGCTCAATTGGTCAAGCATTGGGTTTGCTCCCCAATGGTCACCAGGTCGAGTCTCCTTAAGGCCACTGAGATGAGTGACCGACCGTTAACTTCAGGGCACCAAAATTTTTCAACCCATTAAAATGGGTGTCAAACACTCCCTAATTTTTTTTTTCGAATTTTTGTATTTATTATTTATTTTTCTTATATGCTTAAATGAGCTATCATTGGCTACTTCGGAAATCTTAACTGTACGACTAAGAAGGGGCCTAACAATGAGCCATAAATTACAGGCCCAACACAGAGAAACCAAGTCCAGCCCCATTCCAATGAAAGAATGGCAGAAACACTCATCCTTAAACACTCATCCTTAAACCCTCAGATGTCTATCAGTTCATTGTGCCCCTCCAGAAGGCTAAAACACTCACTCTCTCATCGGGAAATGCAATGATGACTGAAAGCTAGAGAAGATTTCAACTGCTGTCGTCGTATGTTTATTTTTTTTCCCATTCATTTGTGATTTCGTTTGGAGTTTAAGATTGGTGGAAGAATCAGCGCAAACAAGTATTAGTAGCTGTATTTTCCGGAATTATTTCTTGTTTTGCTATAGAGGATTGTCGTTATATCTGGATGGCATCTGTACAACAATTTCTATCCACCACTGCTGCCTCTACTAGCTGCCGCCTCTTTGTCATGGTGACAATTTCCCCCTTATCCTTCTTTCTTAGTTTATTATTAAACGTTTTACTTTAATTCCATTATCTGTTCCGTTTAGAATGGCAATCAAGTAATGGAAAAGATATTTAATTTCAAATGTAGTCTTTTCAAGTGTTTAATGTAATTTTGTGAGTTTCATCGTTCGAGAAATGTATATAATATTGGAAATAGTTGGCTATGCACTTTATGAACATTAATGATTCATTCATTATGTTTCTTCTTAGTAACTAATTTCAACTATAAATAATAGTAGCAAATGTATACCATACAACTGGAAATTTAATTTAAGATGTGCATATCTAATTGAAGCAATTTTTTGAGAATACTTTGGTAGTGGATTAACAATAATTGATATCTACATATCCACTGCTTGTGCCGAAGACAATCACAAGTGGAAAAGTATCCTTGTCTTCACAAGCGGAATATACTCGATTTCAATGAAGTAAACTGTGTCATCTAAGCCTCTCTAAATCTTAGGGTATTCTCTTCAGACGAAAGTTATATCCACTTATTATCCATTTTGCAATGGGTAGTAGATTTTTATTTTTTAGGCAATTATCTATCTCTCTTATCTACCCACTAACAAAAGGAGGAAAAGTACAATATTTTTTAGGTTGAAAATTAAAAAAATCATACCATTTAATCGACAATTTTCATATAAATAAGTTGATTGTCTACAACTTATTTTCTTTTTATATAAGTTCCATGTTTATAATTACACACACTTAATCTTATTCAATACAAATGTTAAAAGAGCTAGATCGGGCAAGGTTTTATAAGACCCAAAAATTGTTTGATTTTTAATATCGTCTAATCTATATTACCCAACCTGCCATAATCTGTATGTATCAATGCGCATCTCGAATCAGCTGTGGTCATTGTAGGAAAGAATTGAAGAGTTTGGTCAGGAAAGTTTCGTAATGTAAATTGGGCCGACCCTGAGAATTTAGAGGCCCTAGGCGATTAATTATTACGAGGCCTTCAACGTAAAGAATCCTGACTGCTTTCTTCATTGCTATGTCAAATGACCAAGTAATATTTTGTTTAATGATAGAAAAAAATTGTTAGGATGAAATGAAAAGCTGGGAAAACATGCGAACTTACTTCGAGGAATCCATTATCTGGACCTCGAGTCTTTTAGGCCATAGGTACATATTCTCAACCTGATCTTTTATAAGTTCCTAAAGAAGCATAAAAACTCATGAGGATCAAAACCATATATCATCATAAATTCTCAAAATTTTTTCATAAGCCACTCGGTCTTTGTCCAACTCTTGGTCATAAGCTGGCATTCTCAAAATTATTCCATTAAACGGCCTTTTGGATTCAACCTCTGAACTGGAGAAAACGAATGAAACTCTGAGGAATTTAAAAGGGTAGGAGGGCAAACATAGAATATCACCTGAACAAATCTGTACAGCCCAGGAATTGACATAGCATCAGCACCTAGCAGCTTCAGTCCAAAGTCANATCAGCACCTAGCAGCTTCAGTCCAAAGTCAACATGAGGCTGCAAAGCGAGATTTAAACAAAAAAAGATCGACAGACTTTCAAAATGTATAATATTTGGCATTTAAACATAGTAGCAAAAGAATATTATCTTTTTTTGATAATTAGTGTATATAATGTCTAATCTCAAGAATGAGTGTATAGTAGAAGAGAAGAAGGGATGCAAATTTTATCAAACCCTGCTAAAATACGTTCTTTATACTCCCTTATAAATATTATCAACTAAAGATGAGTCTGTCAATATGCACATTTTCCATAAGAGAAACAAATATACTTGCAAAACAAGGGATGCTGGGGACCAGCGGCTTCAATGTGATACGTGGAGAGGCAAAAACTTGCAAGTCAAGCACCTGAAATACTTCAAAGAGGTTGTTCACCGTTGAAGAAGCCGAGAGGCGAGAAGAAGACGGAAGACCGAAGAGGAAGAGTTTGAAGATGAAGGAAATAGGGATTTGG